TATTAGCAGTTTAGGACTTTGCCCTGCCAACTAATGTATCCCCTGCTTTCTTTGGGGAATAAACGTTTATAGGAGATATTATATTTTCTACATAATAACAAATGTTCTCTGAGTTATGGCTGTAAGTTCCATACTCAAATGATGTAATTTAACATCAAATGAGAAGGACAGTCACTTTAATAACTGCTCATGCGCAAGACCATCGTACCTCCTCTCCTGCTCTCCAGGGGTAAGGAGTTTTGTGTGTGAGCCCCGTTGACCTCGTGCACAGCTCTGCTACTGGGCTGCTAACCTCACTCAAAGACCCAAACCTTGCTGACTAAGCATGGGGAGAGTATTATTGTAATGGAATGGACTACATACAATGGTGTTTGGTGAGCACATCACAAAAATTGTTCTGTGGGACAACCAACAAATACAATGAATCCACAAAATAAAATAAAGGGTTGAGAAATAAATATCTGAAAAATAAAAATTCTCAATCATATTGCAAGTTTCTCTTGAATTTAAATTTTCTTTATTTTGAAGTTTTTCAAAGTTGCAATAATATTACATTTTGAATATAATAACAGCTGGTTACTTATGAAGTGATGTGAAAGGATTGTTAAAGTGTTTTCAAAATAATACAAAGCTAAGAAAATTGTGTAAAAGAATTATGTACAGTATGGCTGCTTTTTGAGAAAGTTTGTAGCAAGATTGTCTTGCAACAAGCTGGTCGTGGATTTGAATCACAGCCCAGGGTTTTTCTGCATGGACTACATGTTCTCCCTCTGCACGTGTCTGTTCTCACCGGGTACTCTTGCTTCCTTCCATGGTCATAAAACTTGACTGCTAGATTAACTGGCATGGCTGTTTCTCTGCCCTCTGACCTGTCCAGAGTGTTCCCTGCCTTTTGCTCATGGACCGCTTTAGATGGGCACCAACACCACTCTGACCCTGACATATGAAGCAGAAGAACACAAATGCATTTTTGAATTTTGATGCATTACATTAAAATACGAACCAAAACAAACAACAAGTCAATCTTTCATTTTACATACATATTTCCACTAAAGCTGCGGCTCATTTGAACACTATTATAAAACCAATATGCTATTCATTAGGAAGATTTACTGGCAACACAAAGCATTTATTTAAGTAAACAAGTGAAGGAAAAATTCAAACAATGTCTGTTCAACTCCACACCCTTCCACCCATTACCCAACAAAAAGACCAAACATAAAAAAAAAAAAAAAATCTTGATTGGCTCTGCAAATGAGGAAAAAAAAAAAACATGTTTTTTTAGTTTTTTTTTTTTTTTTACATGTATATCTCTGTAACATGGGGATGTGTGCTATGGTTTGGCAGCCAGCTACCTGCAGCGACTGCATCAAAAGACAGGTTTCACTGTTGCTTTGTGGACATTACAGCCATATCTAACCAGACAGCTTTTCAACGATGAAGCTGCAGGAGGCTGGGCACAGACACAGCATCTGGTTTCAGCTCCTTAAGACAAAGAGGCAACCCAAAACTGCCTTAAAAGGAAAGAAATAGGAAATTGGACATACTCCATGTCAGCGCAAAACTGCAATGGAAGAAATGTTAGGTTATGATAATTAAATGACTGTAAAAGCCTACATATTTCATGAAACACAAAATTGGAATAACTTTTATTGAAATCATCCAACACTTGAAAATATAGAAATATTTGCAAAAATGACTCTTTGAATTTGTATTAACAAATCAAAGCAAGAGACTTCTGGAAGATACAGAAGTTGATTTGAAAAACAAAAACATGCAACTACTTAATACGTTAGAAAATTGACTAAATTTGAAAAGTGAATAAAATTCCTCCTTTTATATAATGATTAAAAGTGATAGTTACAATTTTTTCATCAAAACAAATACTTAAAACCTTAAACATCCACAGAATGCCTTGATTATATCAACAGTATTAATTTAGCTATAAATTATTATACGGTAATGAATAAATTATGGTTTTATTAATTTTGAAAGGTCCAAAATGTAAACATATTTACTTCTGGTTATGATTATCAACATCACCATGAAGGGAGGAATAGCAGGTTTATGTCAGATCAAATGGAGCTCAGGAATGTCCAGATTGTTGTAGCTCAGATTGACAGAGCTTGGAAATGTCTGCTTCTTGGTGTTGCATTTCTCATATTCAAACCAAAAAAAAATAAGGTTATTATTTTTTGTTTAGTAAACAATTAACTACAACCCGATTATTAATCTATTTTTTCTCAATGAAATTATTTCTGCAAAAAGTTTGCATTTGTTTTTGCATTGAAACTGATTTATTGTCTAAAGCATGAGTTCTATGTGTAAAGTGTCACTTCAAGCATTACAGGTATTTATGTAGTCTTCAAAGTAATTTATATGATAACCTTACCTGGAAATAATCAAAAGCATTGCTTAGTTTGGCCATGAGTGCTACTCTATTGGAAAGAGTTTTATAACAATTTATTAAAATTGCAAGACTGTAAATTACCAGTGAGTCAAATTAATTTTACATGAGCTCTGTCTGGTTTAAATATGACCCCTTTTGATATTAATTTAATGTATACAAACAAAGATGTCTTTAAAGCTACAGTGTGTAATAATTACAGGGATATAAAGTCAGAAATTTAATATATTATACATAACTATGTTATTTATCATCACCTATGAGCTCAGCCTTTTAACCATAATATTTGCGTTGCCTTAGAATTCGTTATTTATAATTACATAGGAGCGGGTCTCGCAGCCATGGAGGCTGACATCTTTGCGCTACGGCAAGCGCAGAGGCAACAAACTAGCGATTGCGAGATCTCCCATGACGCTCAAAAATAACTACGGCAAGTTGAGAGAGATGAACTGAGACGGTACTGAACAGTAGATGGCAGTATTATGCCTGAGAAGCGTTTAGTCTGCCTGAAACCAAAGAAGAAGAAGAAGAAGCAGGTATACTGCGCCTCAGTAACAAGAAAGGTGAACAAGGCGGCAGGCGTGAGTGACTTTGCAAACTGTTTGGCACTGTGTGGCCAAACATCAGACGAATGGAGGATCATGCCTACTCTGTATCACAACGAAAAGCGGCGGACACCGAACCCCCGTCATCTAAGAAGCGGAAACACGACGAGAATAAACGCAAGCGTGACAAGAAACGGCAAAAAACACGGATCAACATTGGCACGACATTTACACGGTGGAAGTCACTGATGGAGGAAAAAGGTTTTCAAAGTGACGCTCAAGTTGCCAGTTTTCTCTTGGACAGGTAATTAATCCTACACACACAATTGTCTAATATCACTGCAGTTTTTGGAGTACAGGATGCTCAGACCTGTCTAAAACAATAACATGCTGCGGCGTGATGATGCTGTTCCTCTCCAGTATACTTATTCAGCAACGTCCCTGACGTTTCACAGGTAATGATTCAGTAATTTTCTGTAAAATAATTTTCTGGATATATACCTCGGTTACTTCTCTCCGGCTCCTTTGGAGATCTTCAAGCCTTTCCTCCTCTGCTCTCACCCCGCTGGCTCCCCTCTCTCGCCTGGCCCTAGCTGCACGGCCTCCCTGCCCTCGCCCTCGTCCTCTCCCTCTTCCTCGCGTTGTAACCCCCGTGCCACCAAAATGACTTAGACTCTGTAAACGGGGAATATATATTCTTCCAGCGAACACAATCTCGCTGTTAAACTAATGACTACAATTACTTCGTCTGTTTATATCACCATGCAAAGCAGCTCACCAAAACGTCACAACGATGTAGAAAAAATAACGGGTATATTTATTATCTTAAGTCTACATGAAATCTATACCCTACTCAGACTAATGAAATACTATCTGTAAAATTATCTATGTAAACAAACCTCATCACTTGAGAAGGTAGGTGATGTGGACGTCGTGGAAGAAATTTTGTCCCGTAACGCTCGCCGTACTGTTGGGGGGGAGAAGCGGTGGGGGGGAGATGTTCATGTTGCTGCGGTCTGCAGTCTGACCGCTAGATGTCGCTGAAAATTACACACTGTAGCTTTAAATCAAACGAAGGGAAATTCATTTCACTGCTGGAAATCTGCACACTAATACATGCAAGAGCCATATTAATAATTCAAATGTGGGCTATAATTTTTTTTTTTTTTAATGGGAAAATATGTCATCTCTGCAGATGCTCATCATGCACTGCGCTTCTGTTGCTGTGGTAACCAACCAACCCTTACAGAGCACCAAAACCTGTTCCTTATGCCTTGCATACTTTTGAACACTTCGGAGTCCAAGGACTTTCAAGGCTTTGGTTTAAGTAAATCAGACACTTTATCTGCCAAATATGTTTAAAATTTAAAGCTCAGAACAACATAGTCAAATACAACACCCATAGGCACAGCCAAAGACTGCAAAGCACCCTAGTTTGGGGAAAAATAACCCAACATTTGTTGAAAAGTTAAAGTAAACTGTTAACTAAAAATGTTAGAATTTTACCTTCAGCTTTGTCAGTCATCTTTTCCATTTTTGGCAACCCTATAAACTCTTTAGATCCTGAAACAAATACCCACAAACAGTTTTTACAAAATTAAATTGCATTGAAACCTAGCCACTATATATGATAAAACGACAGACTATCAAGACTATCAAGGGTATCATTTTCCCAAACTTTAGTGCAATTGTCTTATATTTTTATAGTTGATCAGGTAGGTATATTATTGTTTTAGAAAGGTGTTTTAAAAGGTATTGGTCAACTTTCTGCTCAATCAAAAACAAAAAAAATAAAAAAATTATGTCAGACTTAAAAGAATGAAAACAAATAAAAATCTAACGACAAAAACCCTCCATGAATGAGACCATTTGATCTGTGTTTAGTCATAAACACTTTGGGGTCATGAGGACTGACTCTCAATGGCCTCTCCTGCTGTTGCTCTCTGCCTGTCTCTGCTTTGCTCTTTCCCGTCTCTTTGTGTGCATGTTGGATGGTGTCTCTGTCTCTGTGTGCGTAGCTAATAGAGCTATTTCCCCTGTAATTACAGCGGGTCAGACCCAAAGACAGCAGAAGCCTAGTGTCCCCCCTCTCCTCTCCATCACCTTCCAGATTACAGGTAGGTAATTTTAGCTAGACTGAATATGAAGCCTGCCCCGTCCCTCCCAGCACCACCGTTTCCCTTTTCGATCGTCTCTGCTCCTTTTTATCCTCCCTCTCTCTTTGCTTCCAGCACTGCAGGTGCCTCATTTGTTCTGTTTTTTCTCCTATAGTTTTCTCTTAGCCAACTCAATTTGCCTCTAAGTCTGATCACTCATAACTCTCATATCTCAGTTTTCGTTTTCTCTGTAGACATTCTACTGTATATGAATTGTTTTATTAATTCATCTTCTATTTAAGCAGTTTTTATTTTTTTTCCCACACTTGTCTCCCTTTGGTTTTGGTTTTCATTCAACTTTAGTTTCAAGCTAACAACGTTTATCGCAAAAGCATCGCAAAATTCTCCCAAAACTGTGCATGTTTTGGGAGAATTTTCATAACTACTTAAGCTATGCTTTTTGAGGTCTTGCTTAGTTCATGTCTATAATTTAACCCTTGCTTCTGCATTAGAGGCATTACAGTATTCTTAGACATGAGTTGCAAAGAGCACATTGAAATGTATTTAATAAAAGAAAAGATTTTAAAATTTATTTTTATAATTTAGAAGCCAAGTTTCTAGTGAACTTTACCATTAAACCACTAACTGAAGCAGCATAACCTTTCATGGGAAGGACTTCACTTTAACATGAAATTGCATTATGTCTGATCATCATTAGATCTTGTATCCCTAAATTTCAATAATCTATAGCAAGAGTTTTAATATTTTTTAGCTAAGAAAAAAAAAATTCTGAGGAAAAAAACCCTGCATAATTTTTAAACTTATATTAAAGGGATTATACTTTAAAATCTTTACATTTAAACGCTTAGGTGGTTTAATAGTTTTAATAAAATAACAAAGAAGCAAATTTTTCAGAGGTACTGTGCTGGTAAAAAACAATCTGAAAGACAAACACTTGCATTTAAAGAAGCAACTACCCAATAGAATATTCCCTTTTTATTTTCTATAAAAATGGACATGATGGCAGCAGTTTTTTCCTTATGTCTCCTCTACGGTGTTCAGATCAGACAGGTCTGTTATCACTCTCTTCTTACTTTTTCCTTTGTCTTTATTTACTCCATTCTTTTCCCTGTTTCCTCCTTGTCCTTGTAATCTTTTCCTACTGCAATATTCTCCACTTTATTTTGTCCTCATGCTCAAACCTTAAACCAGTTCTTTTTTGTATGATGGCTTTTTTTCTATCCTGTGTTTGAACGCAGCATTGTTTCATCAACAATAAACTATTGATTTTAGCATCACTTCAAAAGTGCTCAGTGCAGCCATGATTATTTCTGTGTCTAGTAAGTTAAAGTGATCAAAACAGTTTTTTAGAAGAGTTCCAACAGCGAATTGACTGCTGTTCCTAAATCAAACACAGGGCTAGCTTAAACTACAACAAAGTTCTGTATTTTATTTCAAATTGTGGAGTTGTAGCTGTGAAGGGACTTAAAAAGGAAAAACTTTGTTCACACACAAACAGAATATAAATGGTAAGTGATGGCGAGCCATTTTATACCTCTGCAGGCTTTAAGCCACGCTCACATGAGGGATTCCTTTGCAATGCTGTCAGTTTTGTGCAAAAGGAGAATCGGCTCACAGGAGAGAGTGAACTACAAATGGACTTAGAGAGAACCAGAGTACAGGGATGTTTTATTTCTTCATCACATCAAGAACGGGTATTATGTTGGTCTTCTGTTTAATATTCATCGTTGTAAAGATTGAAGTCAGTGATTCCCCAGTAATGCATGGATTAACAGCGGATCAGCAAAGTTAGTATTTGACTTTGAGTCTGTTTCTAACTGGGAATAAGACATTTTGCATTTCAAAAGCTCCTTCTTGTCTCCACAGTTCCCATGGAATGTTGATTTGGCTCCTAAGTGAGACTTTAAGCTCTTAGATGTGTTGTAGAAACAGCTGGTAATGCTTTGGGTGGAACATGTGGAGAAATTTTACTGTTTGAATATTTAAACAAGGAATATAACATAAAGATGTTTAAAATTGGATCCAACTTTAAAAAAAAAAACAAAAAAACTATTTACATTGGAAATATATCTCTATATTTATGTAGCATCTGATGCCTTTAACTAAACTTTGGTTTTGACATGAGTTTATTCTCCTATACCACTGAAACATACTGTTCCAGTTAACAGAACAGATGGTGCCAATTCAGGCTTGTGTTTTCCTCAGAGGTTTTGTAATTAAAATAAAACAAATCTTTTCACAGTAGCAGGTGTTGATGAAGACCCAAGATGTCATCTGCTGATTACAGGCAGTAACTTCAAAGCCTCAATTATTATTATTTTTTATTGTTTTGTTAAATGATTTATACAATGAGTTCAACGTAAAGTATACCAAAAACCTAGTCATTTTCTATTTTTTAAGCCACCAAAGCTGCAAACATACATATGTGTTCCTCAACTTTATTATGGCCATTTATCTTCAACAAAACAAATTTAATTTAAATGAAATTAAACATTTTAAAACAGGCTTGAAAAAGCAGATGCTATATGGGTAACCTCTGTACCCCACAAATTACATAAAGTGAAAGAAAAAAATACAAGAAAAGAAAGAAATATAAAGATTCTGTATGACATAAAAATACATTACCCTTTTCTAAAAAGAAGGTATTATGGCTTGGTATGTGAAAAATTGTTTAACATAAGCCCCGAACTCTGTACTAGAAACTATTGATGGGACAAGCTGAAAAGGGCAGCATACAACGGTTAGCATATTTACATCAGGAGTTCATCAGAATTCAAGGAAATTAAATGGGGATGTTGTAGCTGGATACCAATATCTACATAATTGATAATAAAAAAACAAACAAAAAAATAAAATAAACAGAATAAAATAAATTAGTTAAAGCAAATAAAAACAACAGAGTATCATGCTGGATTATCTGATGAGGAGGGGAGCTCTGTCTCCTCTGAGCTTCTGTTTGGACCTCAGTATCTCCAGGAGCAGCAGGTCAGCTGATTTGAGGCCCCCGCATGGGAGCATAGTGGTGAAAAACATCAGACAGATAGGGAGGGGCCATAGCCAATTAAATATTTTAAAACAATCTTAAAATAAACTCCAAAATACACAGGGAGCAGATGGAGGGAAGCCAGAATGGGAGTTATCTGCTCCCTTTTACGTACCCCAGTTAAAGGTGTGCATTTTGCTCCAACTGGAGACGTGTGAGGGAGGAATGGCTCACCCCAGAATAAAGTACAGTATGTTACAGTAGTCCAGCCAAGGTGTAACAAAGGCCTTGGTTACTGTTTCAAAAGGCTGCTGTGAAATAATTTACGTATTTTAAAGCGTAATCTCTTAGAAAAATCTTGCGTTCTATAGTCCTGTGTTTGATAAGTGGATCAGAACTACCTCATTTTTTAATTTTTTTTAATTTTAATTCCGAAATGACCATTTCATTGCTTTGGTCATTTATGTTGTCTTAGATTTGACATTATTTGCTAAAAGGACATTAAGCGGTTTATATAAACAAAGTAGAATAAATAATCCTATAGAGCAACTCTGTTACCTGGGTCTGTTAATTATTTCCTTTTATAAAATGTTATGTCTTGTTTCCAGGCAGTGGAAAATGTGCTATGAAAATTGTTTTGCATTTTTCATGACTTACCAGCTTTAGCTAATGTGAACTCACACCTTCTTTGCAACATCAGTTAAACTTTGAGGTTTTAAGGTGGAGGATATTTGATAAAGTGTGGTTGTTTGTTTTAACTAAAGAACCTTTAATCCCGCCTACCTCAAAATGACTGCTTTAAATGTCAGATTTTCCTGACACACCTTCACCTAACCTTTAAACAGAAGATTGAAGATTTGTGTGGGAATCTGTATTTGTTACCTTCTCTAAAGCCTTCATATCAAAAGTATTTATTTTTAGAACAGATTACACATTTAAATCACCAAACCAGCTCCTTGCATTGGAATGAACTAGTTGATGGTGAAAACGTACAGCTCTTTCAATAGAAACTTTGATTATCTGGATTTTTATTTGCCACCTTTAGAAAGATGACATGAAATATGTTAACTTAAATAACAAACATCATCTCTACATCTAAATGCAGTTTAAATATCCTTTTGATATTGATATAAAAGGAATCTTAAAATCAGCCTGTATAAATTTTCAGTCATCCGGGTCATGGCAACCACAATAGGCTTAAATTGGGAGACAACCCCACTTTGGCTCCGAGTTTTGAAGACATTTCGACACCTCGCCAGGAGTCTTTGTCTATTGTTGGCTCACATCAGAGTTGGTATTTAAGCAGCATTGAGGTCCATCCTCATGCACACATTTCAAGTCAGATGCAAATCAAATAACCACCCCTTGTTTTTCTGGAATTTTGGAGCCTTTTGTTGTGCAGGGGCTCTTTGATTGGTCTCCTGCATCATAATCGGAGTGTTTATGTCACTTCTTTGGAATGGGTTCAATGAATTGCGAGTGAACAGCTCAGTCTTCTCCAGAGCTTCTCGCTCTCAATTGCTGTGCCATGTGTTCTTTGTTTTATAGGTATAATCTTAAAATCAATTGCATTATCAACTTTTACCTAAGACCTCTTTTTTTTTTTTCTTCACTATGACCCTTTACCATTGCTTAATGGTTGCTTATGTTCAGTTTGACCTTGCACAGCTTGAAAAGTAGGTCTAATGTGATTTAAAGGCAAAGTTGTGCAGATTTTTTTTTTTTACAGTTTACAGGAATGTCCTTGAAAGGCTGTAGCCTGATAACCTGAAGGTTGATCTTCAGAGCATATTCGCCTGGATAGCAATGGGAATTCTAATGCCAACAATCAAAACATATTAGAAAAACCTAAAAATGCCTTACTTTTAAGCACCTTTTCATAATTTAATAATGAATTTAATAGTCTCTGTTTACTATGCATTTAGAACATGATTTAGCTTTAATAACAAATAAAAAAAGATCTACAATGCGATTTGTATAAAACTAAACCCTTTCAATCAGAGTTAATTTCTTTTCAGCTCCCTACAGTTTGCTATAAACGATTTCTCACCATAGCAAGTGTTTGTTCAAAGGGCAGCAGTCTTTACATCTTGGCAGGATGACTCTTCTGACCTAAACTTCTCTACTTGTAATGGCTTGGTATGGCCAACACCAAATCAATATAAACAAATGCAGAATCTATGGGGTACACTTTAGATTAGGGTAATTGCAAACAGACTTTATGACCCCAACCCTTTAAATCCATCAAAGCAAAATAAAATTATAACTGAAAAAAAAATGCTCAGGAAATGTTATAACAAAAGTTATAACACAGATTTGTTTATAGGAATATGGATTGTTTTAACATCAATTTTGTATAAACACATAAATAAAACAATATTTGGGGTTAAATTAATACCCCTTTTCAAATGCTTTAACTTTAATATAAAAAAACCCATCTTAGTCAAATGAAAATAATCTGATAACAGTTATTTCCCCTTTTGGCCTTAACTGCATACAGAGTTTCACCTAATCCCATTTATCCAATTTGTCCAAGCTGTTGTCTTTATGGGGTAATTGGTTTGTCACAAAATTAACTTATTGCTTAAGTAGTCTAAGTATCCTTTTGTTTAAACATCTTTTTCTGTTCTTTTCATCTAATACAGCTGGAAAACTTGAGCAGAACAGTTCCTTACCCAGACATGACTGTAGCAGCCAGTACAGTGTCTTTTTCATTTTAATTATATTCCTGAAGTATGAAATACCATTAGATTATTGAAGAAAATCATTTTTCCTTTAAACAAGGAGTAATGTGCACTACCCTTAACACAGTCCCACAAGCTCTGAATTGGCTGTTCACTTTTGGACCACAGAGCCTTCTGGCTAATGCTGTCGCCCCACTTTATATATGATCACAAACTTTCCCCCAGCATGAATCATAAGATCCATTTAATCATGAATACATATACCAACAATTTAAAAATGCCATTAACAGGATACAGCACTTAAAATTGACATCCCTACTAAAATGTAGGCTTTAAAGCTAACTTTTGTTATTACAAAGAATTGAAGGTAACTGTTACTCTCTTTTTTCAAAGAAGATTTTACTTTGGCTTTCTATGGAAAACCCCTCAGTGTCTAAAAACCTTGATGTAACAGTTCAGAACAAAAAAATGCACAGTAAAGAAACTGAACACTGAAAATGTGTGTATGGAAATATAAGTAAATTAATATGCCAGTACTGTATCTTTGAAAAAACAAGCAGATCAAGTTTGTTTACTGTAGCTCAGTTGACTGTATATTTAAAACAGCACTATGTGGTTTGAATGCAGGTAACATCTGTTTTTGTAGAAATTTCACTGAGATTTCAAACCACCTTCCATTTAACAGAGGCTTCAAGTAAAGGAGGTTCTAAATTTAACATGGCACCAGGAGGGGGAAGGAAGCCAAATTACACCTAATGAAATAAACATGAGCGAAGACAGCCTCTGTGTTTGCCTGCACCTTTAGTGTTGTATTATATCCTTTCTGTGCATCTCCACTGAGAGTCAGAGAGCAGAGTTCCTCCGTGTTTTTTGTTGCTATCAAGGTGCTCCATGAGATATTCATTGCTAATTTATCATTCTTACATGCTAACAGGGAGGGGGGGGAAAACAAACAGAGGAATACTAGTGTATACCTTGCAGGCATGCTTTCTTTCTTTCTTCTAAACGTGATTCTCAGCTAAACTCAATGGAATTTCTTGTGTCAATAATAAGTAAACAATGATTTTCTGATCTTTTGTTTCCTGATCATATCAAGTTTGTCAGCTTGTTTGCCTGCTTCTTATACTGCCTTTTCGTTTTTTACCCTGTACAGCCTCCCGCCCAGTGGAAAACAACCTTTGCAGGGGCCCAATCCCAAACAGATCCCAGCGCTGCCAGATCCCCTGTCCCATTGACTGTGAGGTATCACCCTGGGGTGCCTGGGGGCCATGCATCTTTGAAAACTGTGATGATCAGACCGGAAAGAAAGGTAAATCGATGATACAGATGCATCACTTTAAAGGCTGCATTTGTCACATTTTGTGCAAGATTTTGATTGATGTGGGAAAAAGCTGCATTTTTAGCCCTTTAAAAGGGATGTTTTTTTTTTTTTTTTACATTCGTATAAGCAGTATGTCTGTCATTCATTATGTAATTCAATAAGGTTATTCTTGGCTAGGTTATCAAGCAAACCTGGCCAAGAGGCAAGCCAATACAGTAGAGTTCACAATGAGGTGGAATACCACAAACAGTTTTATAAAAATTTGTTTGCAAGATGTAATAAATTCTTCAGCTAAAAATTCCTTTAGAAAGAGAAAATACAAATCTGCATATTTTTTAACTTTGAATATAGTCTTTTTTTTTTTAGTGGCTTTTACTTTTGAACTTCAGGGAAAACCAGGAAAAAATAGTTTCTAAATGTCTCCAGAGACACTGACCATCTAAATCACTGGGAATCGCAGTGCTGCTACATTTCCATCTTTTTATTTTTCCTTTTTTTTTATCAATAAAATACCTCTGAATTCATTAGAACATGTGCATTGTTAGATATGTGAAAAAAATTCAAGCTCACACTGTAGTAAACTAAATATTAATATGACAGCTGACAAAATAACAGGTGAGCAAAGGATCACTTAATAAGACTCTACAGAGGTCTAAAACCCAAACAAGAATATTGGAGTATTTAGACAACCTAAAAGAACATATTATTTTGCTTTTATTTGTCACTAATCAGATTACTCTAAGTATGGAGACTAAAATACCTGACTATTCTAAACCTGAATGTTTTATTAAGTCAGGTCAAATAGGAAAGGAGTTAGAGGGAAGCGGGCTGCCATTCGGCTTGCGTTTGACTGGAAAGGGTAATTTTGAATGGCTGCTCCTGTAAACTGGTGTAAAACATGTAACAGTAACGTACAATAGCATACTGTCAATTAACAGCAGAGAAGATATTGTGAGAATTTAAAGAAATACACTTTCCAAACTGGGATGTTTTCGATCCACATTTTACTGATTAAAAAAATGTCTTCCATACATTTTATTTCAATTAAATAATTATCTTACCTTTTATTCCCTTTGAGGGTCTAACAGGTCTTCATCTTTGGAATATTTTTTATCAATACTTGTACAGTTCACCACATATCCTCTTGAGTTGTAATGTCGAAATGCATGTAGAAGACTTTTATTTCTGTGTACAGAAAAAGATCCAAGGAAAGCATGTTTGATTATTTCCTTATTCTGTCTTAATTTAAAGGAACATTAACTCTATTAGCACTATGAAGCTTTGTTTATCAGTGTTTTTCTTTTTCCTCTTATGTATAATGTCTTTTTGATTTCTCTCATCAATCTGTTTGCGACTACAGTTGAATTTGGTTGATCTACTAAATTAGGTACATTTACAGGTTTTAATGTGCATTGTCTTATTTTAAATAACAGAAATAAAAAGAAAACCTAACAATTCCTCAGTTTCATTAAAATGTACTTTAACCCTTTAGCGTTCTGCTCAACAAATTGGTAGAGCACATTTTGAGGCTTTATATCTAACTCAGGCATACACTGAAATTGATATACCTTATTGAGTCTTTTCTACCAATTGGTTTAGACTTGTAATACACATAAACTCCACTAGAATGCACTGTGTCAGTGAAATTTTGACTTTTTGAAGAACTGTCCACACAGGAAGTTAGCAGTGGGATGACCATGCTAAGAAAAGACAGCTCTTTTTGTCAAATATTTGAAAGGTAGGCATACTTTTTCAACATGAAACAATGTCAGAGGCTTTACTAAACATTCTAAAGTAATATTATGATGAAAAGTTAATCTTATAAGGGTTAAATAATTTTCTAAAAACACATGTTACCAAATGGTTGATTTGTCCATTTATAATGAAGGCATAGGCACAATACTAATGTAGTTGGAAAATACTTTCTTTTGTAAGGTTCAGTGATTGGATCACTTATACATGCATTTTCTTAGTTGTTATATCCCTTATTGACTTATTCTAATGCTAACATATTACAACCACTTCATTGATTCATGGATTTACATCTTTTATATTTGTATATACATTTTCCTTTTTTATCGAAAATTCTAGATGGACAGCAAAACCTTTTATGCTTCAAGGACACACAATTCCCAGGCTCTGATACCAGAACACCCTCAAGATTCTGATGCTGATCTGAGTGATGATGATGATGACCAAATAGAAGATCCTGACTATCATCCCACACAAGAGGAAGATGAAACTTCTTTTGAGTCCATGTGTGAAGAGGAGGAAGATGAGGAGACTCCAAACACAAGCTCTTCCTCTAAACCACCACCCCGCAAGAAAAGACGTAAAGGAAAAAACACTCTCAAAAGAATATCAGTAAGAGAACTGGACGAAACTCTTGAGCAAAGTACACCTCCAAACCAAAAGAAACCCACTCGAAAAATCTGGAAATATGAAGACATTGATAAAATCAATGTTCCTGCTTCTGTATTTGAAGCTCCTGAATGTGTGAAAACACCCTTGCAGTATTTCAAGTCACTTTTTACAGATGAGATGATTCAACATATTGCTAACCACACCAACCTTTACTCTGCCCAAGAATTGGGGGATCCAATCAACTGCAGTCCTGAGGAGATAGAAATTTTCCTTGCAATGCTACTCGTCATGGGTGTTTTTAGTTTCCCTGCCATGGAGGATTATTGGCATCATGATTCTCGTTACAACCTGATAGCTGACATCATGCCAAGGAAAAGATTCAAGCTACTACGTCGCTTCATTCATTTCAATGACAATTACCAGTTCAACAACAGCACAGACCGCTTTTACAAAATACGCCCTCTTTTTGAAATGCTTCGAAAGCAATGTCTTCTGATTCCATCTTCTCACAAACATAGTGTGGATGAGGTTATGGTTGCATATAAAGGCACGAGAGCCGGTACACTCCGCCAATATATTGCCAACAAACCAGACAAGTGGGGCTTTAAACTGTTCTGCCGTGCAAGTTCCTCTGGCATCATTCATGACTTATTGCTTTACCAAGGTGCCTCAACATTCTTCAATGTTCCCCTTTGTGAGGAGGAACAAAAGCTACCTCTTGGATCCAAAGTGGTAATGACATTATGCAAGACCATAACAGAGCCCCACCTCTCAGTTGTCTTCTGTGACAACTACTTCACAAGCTTTGACTTGATACAAAACCTCCATGCAAATCTGGGGGTCAAATGCATTGGCACTGTCAGATCAAACCGAATGGGTGAAGCTTCACTGATGTCAGACAAAGAACTGATGAAAAAAGGTCGTGGGGCCTTTGACTTTAGGTCTTCTGAAGGAGTGCTTGCTGTGAAATGGTTTGACAACAAATGTGTTAACATTCTAAGCAATGCATGTGGGATCATGCCTATTGGAAGTGTTAAACGATGGAGTAAAGACACCCGCACAAAGATTGATGTGCCATGCCCATCAGTTATTCCTGCCTACAATCAACACATGGGAGGCATCGATCTCTCAGACATGCTGGTACACATGTACAAGACCCCAGCAAAATCAAGGCGATGGTATTTTCCACTGTTTGGCTACATTCTTGATCTGTGCATCTCAAATGCCTGGCTCATTCATAAGAGGGATTGTGCCCTACTGAATGAGAAGCCTCTATGCCTCAAAAGGTTTCGTCTGGCAGTTGCTCATAGTTTGATGCAGGTCAACAAGCCAGCACAGAAGGTTGGAAGACCACCATCTTCTTCTCCACCACAAATGTTGCATCAGAAGAAACGTTACACCCCAAGACCTACTCAGCCCCAGCCAGATGTGCGTTATGACAACTTTGGACACTTGCCACTTCACTGTGACAAACGAGGCCGGTGTAACCTCTGTCCAAAAGGAGTGTCAAGGTGGAAGTGTCAGAAGTGCAACGTTTTCTTGTGCCTGAATGCCCACCAGCAGTGCTTTGTTGCATATCACCAGAAATAAGGTTGATCCGATACATCAAAACTGCAGTTGCAGTTGGTTCTAATGCATTACAACTCTTTTTGCCTGTTTTTCCTACTCTGTTACTAGATTAAAGAAGAGTTTTAATAATTTTTTGTTATGAGTAATTGTATGCAAAGTTTTACCATAAACGGAATTCTCAACCGTTTGGTAGAGGCTTGTGATTTAAAAACTATGGGGGTGTTTGCAAAAAGAAGTTATGCACTTTGTTATTGATGTTCTAAAGGAATAAAAAATACAAAGAAAAAATTTTTTCATTGCAGTTTTCTTGGTGCGGACCTTAAAGGGTTAAAGTCTATGAGAATTTAAAAAATGTATTTTAAAAAGTCTGTATGCCAACTAAAACGAATTCTAGAATGACAGAGTTTATGAATTTTATCTAACTGCAGGTTTCAAACTGAGGAAACGGCAGATTACCAACGAACCAACAGGGGGCCCGGGAAGCTGCCCTCACCTAGTGGAGGCCATGCCATGTGATGAACCCAGTTGTTACAAGTGGCAGCTGGTCAGCCTGGATAAGTGTGTTCCTGATGATGGGAAGCAGTGTGGCCCGGGAACTCAGCTGCCACAAGTGCAATGCATCAACAGCAATGGTGAGGGGAGACAATTTAATCTCATTGTCCAGGCAGATGATGCGGTTTTTGCAGAATGATGAGATGCTGAGCAGATGGCAATGATGCTTTATTACGCTGTGTGTTCAAAATGGTGGGTCATTTTTTCAAATTAAGCACATCAATTCTCAGAGGCAGCATCTCATGATTGACAGTCATCAAGCAAACGAGCGGTAAATTATTCCTCCCTGTTCTGTCGTTCCTTTTTGATTCACCTTCATTTGGCAAAAAATATGATGCACTGATCATACAAGAAAAACACATTTTTCAAGGTCACTTATCTGCTGCCCCTCTAGCTTTTGCTGTGCACATTTTCATTACACAACTCCCTGTGCGGGAGTAATATCCACACTCCCCTCTCCTCAGTACCTCCTTCCTCGCTCTCTTTTAAACCTCTCCTGCTTTTACGCTTGCTTGATTCAGCTTCTCCACCCGTCTCCCTGCTGTCGGTCTCATTACAGTCTTCCTCGCTGCACGCACAATTAAACCTCACTCTCAGTATATCAAATCAGTCCTCGGAAACTCTGGGAGTTGGAGTAACTTCCGTTTTTGCTCCTTTACATTGTTGATGTGGCTCTTTATTACTCCTTGTCTTTTAATGGTGGAAGAATAAATCTAGAGATTTAAATGACATGTCTTTGTTAGATATATTTTTAAAAATGGAAGAGAAAAAAAGTTCAGGATTGCATTTAATGATGAAACAATATGAAGATTTAGCATCAGTACTAGAACTACTGTTTAAAACTATGTCTACTGTTTCCCAACAATTAGATAAACATATGGGAAACTTCTGCCATTTATTAGATGCTACGGACACATTTAATTCTACGGCTTAAACGCACACATCAGGCTGCATTCAGAGTTGTATTTTAATGAGTGTAGAGAATAGAGTGAGCTGCTTTATTAACTATGTTAAGTGGAGTGCAGATTACTGTACATTATCCCTTAGACTCTTATTTTGAAGTTTGGGCTTCAGTTCATGCTGTGTTAAAATTGCTGAGAAGTTAGATGCTATTCGAAAAGCTTAAGGCCTAAAAGACTCCAAATATTTTGGTTCTCTTAATGAGTTTAAGTCTTCTGTTCAATTACCTCCTCACCAGGGAATTGTACCTACAGTATGTGTGCAGAGTACAGATACAATTTGTAGAACCATTACACTCATCCCCACACATTACTCAAATAAAAAGCTACACCAAATATTTCCGGCTAAACAACTAAAGGCTTAAATAGAGATATGTTTTTTTGAACACTTTGTTCGTTTTTTATTTCAGTGATTCTTCCTCCATACAGTACAGTAGGAGGGAAACTGGGGAAACCTAAAGGTAAAAGTGTGAATCCACTTAAGGGGGAAAAACAGGTAAAGCTTCTGGCCCATACTGTCACCATTAGTGTATAACTGAGAATGTTCTTCAATGATGCTCATAGAGGATATGAAGTTAGTCTTTGTTATCATGACAGCTGAGAAATTTGTTCCATTTAAACAGATGGGCACGAGAGCAGATCTAACTAAAATAAACTTTTTTTCTCAAATTAAAACATTAAATTAAGACATAATTTATTTTAAAGTGTAAAAATTAAGACCATAATGTTATTTTTATTACAGATATACTCATTAAACTGCTGCCTTTTAGGTTACCTTCAAACCTCAACTAGTTCCAGACCATAAATGTTAGTGATGTTGTCTAACGCAGTTGCCTATAAATCTTAAACTATTCATGCATAAACTGTTGACATTCAGTAACATTCTACCTGCAGAAACCCGTTTTGTCTTTTCTCCCTCTCATTCTGCTGATTGATCTTCCTCGCATTCAGTCCCTTATCTGATGAGAATTGATTTGTTCTCTTTGGATTTTCGATCTGCTTTTCGCCTCAGCGGGTTTTCACTGCTACGTCGGCTGTATTTTTAAATTTTTTTTCTCTCTGAGTGTGTACCGGTCATAAAAACAAAAGGCCACCCAGCCGGGCCCTGGACAGCAGGAGAAGGTCGATACAAATGTTATTGAAACTGGCTATTGATATTCCCAAAGCTGACTGCATGGCCACTTAGGCGGAGAGCTGTTTCTTCTCTGCATACAGACGGTTGAGGTTTTTCTTCTGGTGGTGGGGGGTTCAGTTCATTCATGTCTTTGTTGGAGCCTGTGAAATGCTCAGGTCCCTTGTCTTTTCGGATTTTCATGCTTTTCCATTTCAGTCATGAGAGTTCACAGCATCTCACTCAAAGTGACATCTCAATATGAAGTCAACTGCAGTGAGATTTTTGAAGCTTTTCTTTGGTTTGGAATTTCAATTTAGTAATTTAAAGGTTTGTATTATTTTCCAGGGTGCATGTATTGCTTAACCGCTTGATTTGTGGAGTGCATCAAGCAGCTCAGACAGATATGTGGTTTCATATAATCCACTTATAGTAGCTACTTCAAGCTCATTAATAATACATGAACAGTTGCAATGAAACATGGGAATCCAATGTGAAGTTGCGCTTTTCAACTGAAGTGTTCCATTTTATGGAGATTTCTTGGAGCTAAGGTCCATCATGATGAATATTTTACAAAGAATTTGTGCTGAAATATCGAGAAGTCAAAGTGAAAAAGTGTTTTTACTTTATTAATAGATTTATGTTAAAACAAAATTGCAGCTTTAGTCAGCCTACAATATTTCAGATAAGGCTGCTCTTCCAGATATTTTCCGTGTTTAATTTCAATGCTTAAGTCTTTTTTTTTTTTACATAATTTTTATTAGCCAAAAATGTCTTCTGTGCGTAATACATCTGCAGCAAAAGAAGGAATCTTAGCAGACAATTGAAGCTTAGCACTCGGATAAAAAAAAAAAAAACTTAGACAAGGACTCATGAGTTATTATGGTAGAAATAATGAGTAGGAAGGATGACTTCATTTCTCTTCTTCTCATACACTTCGTACACACTTTTTCTCATGCAACCTTGGCCATTTTCAAAGAACTGGTTGAAACTGTAGCACATCACAAATATATGCCTAAAAGTGCGCATGCACAGAAAAAGATAGCTACCTTTGGGGACTAGCACTTTGGACGACCTTACATAAACATATCACCAATTTCATTGACAATTAGGAGGATCACTCATTTTGTTGATCCACCCGGAAAAAAAAAACTCCTCCACTATACCTTTGAGCTGAGTGCTAATTATTCAACAATAATGCGATGCCTGACAAACATTTAATTCATGGGAGAGTTCAGGCCAAAACTCCTTCGCAGTAATGCTCAAGTCTCTGGGTAAATTATCCGATGGACTGAAAGGGAAGAAGTGGAACCTTCTGAAAAGGCCTTAAAAACAGAGTATCTTAGTTAACAAACATCACCCTGACTGGATAACATGCTGTGTCTGGGACTTATTCAGGGCCTGAGAGACTGGTTGTTATTGATAAACTATGAACACTGCTCTCTACTATAAAAAAAAATGTGTAGAAATCAGTTTTTGACCTAGAGTTTCAGCACCCTTATCATGTAACAGTAAAATGATCCATAGAGTACCAGTGAGTTCATAGGACACTTTTATTGGGTCAAAGTTAGGGCCATATTGGATTTTGGTTGTTTTTTTGTTTTTTTCCCTGATAAGGTAAGAAACTTATCTTGCCCCGGATCTGGAGAAACGTTTGACTGAAGACACTCTGCTGATGTTTTAAAGTCTTCTGAAGAACATGCTCACAGTTGCCCATAATGATCTTCATTTTATAAAGAATTCTTCTTTGTAAAATCATGTGGAATTCAATTTCATGGGGGCTGGTATCCTGCAACTTTTGGATTAATTCTTTCTCCAACACACATGATTCAAATGGCTGAGTTACCTCTGTGGTATGCAGTCAGTTCCTTTACCTGATTCAGGTGTGTTGAATCTTGCAGGAAATTGGGCCTCAGGAACTGCCTACCCCTGTTCTAGATGATCAGACTCTCCAAAACAGCCGCATAGTATTAACGTTATAATGCATCTTCCTGCAAACACTGAAGGACCTAAGCTTCCTTAAGAAGAACAGCACCTGCTTTAAGGTGGCTTCACAGAGTCTCCAGTCAATCGTTCAATGAGAAGATAACCAAAGTTATATACGGAGTTTAATTACTCTAATAGTGACACACTCGATAACTATATTTGAACAATCTCCAAAGATCATCCCCTTCTTTACAAATCCACCCTATGGATTTCTTTTTCTTTCACTCTTTCATATAGAAAGAGATCAGACCAACTCAGATCCTGCATACCAGATGCTGCTTTATATATTCAAGGGATTACATTTATTATAAATTCTTCAAAAATGCCCCATGAATAATTTCTTGCAAATCTTACATCTGTTCTTAAATGATTATCTGTCTCAACCAGTCAAGTTGGAGATAAATGCTTTTTAAGTCAGCTAAGTAGTTGTAAGCTGTGTGTTCATGTGGAGATCAGGCCTACCCTGAAAGCTGTATTGAATGAACAACGGGAGATTAAGACAGAAAAACGGGAGCATCCACTAGTTGTTTTTTGTTGTACAGTACCGATAACTGAATTCCTAATGTTACCTGCATTTTAAAATGTACATCAAATAAACATTAAACCAAAACAAAAGAAACATGCATAATACCTTTGTATTAATGTAAATTACAGGGTTGAGCCTAAGTGGTTAAAATAAGTGATGAAGCTGACTTGACTAAATTCTGCTTCATTTTCTTTAGTACATGTCAAACAGGCAATGTAGGGCTTTTGATCCCGCATTTCATTTTGTACTTTAAATTCTTTTGGCTCATAAATCTTCCCAGTTAGAATATTGCAAAGCTCTATCATTGGAAAAACTTCCTCCACTATAGTGATAAACCACTAATGAGTTCATCATGTGTCCTCATAGCTTTTGGGTTTTACTGTGACTATAGGTTCTGTTTCGTCTCTGTCCTTAACACTGGCTCAGTGCTCATCTCCTTACTGTAGCTTCTCTTCTATATATGAAGCTACTATAGGAGCTACTACTGCACCTAACCTT